CAGAGTGCCTTTGGAATCCCGTGGGCCTCCATATCCTCCTCCCACTCTGGTTCCACAAGTAACCCACCACCCAGACCCGACGAGGCGGGTGGGGTATTGCCTTACTGCTCTGGAGTGAGACCCCCTCCCCACCTGGTTCTCTCTTTCCTCCAACAGCACGCAAGACAATCAGGGACCACTGTGGGAGGGCTCTTGGCTTTTCATTGGAATATTACGTAAATAACCCACACCTAAAGCAAAACACTCATGTATTGTATCTCATTTTATCCTCGTGATCTCCCCATGAGACAGTGATTTCTCCCATTTCAAAGAAGAGAGAATTGAGGATAAGAAGATTAAGTGAAGGCAGAAGGCGGAGCACAGAGGATTTTTATTATATTTTTTAAATATTTATTTATTTATATGAGACAGAGAGTGGGGTGGGGAGGGGCAGAGGGAGAGGGAGAAGCAGACTCCACGTTGAGTGCAGAGCCCGATGCGGGGCTCAATCTCACGACCCTGAGATCATGACCCTGAGATCACGACCTGAGGGGAAACCAAGAGTCAGATGCTTAACCGACTGCACCACCCAGGCGCTCCCAGAGGATTTTTAGAGTAGTGGAAATATTCTGAATGATACTGTACTGAGAGATACAGGCCATTAACTGACAAAACCCATGGAGTGCCCGAGACCAGGAGGGAACCTGAAGGTAAACTGTGGACTTTGGGCAGCAGGACTGGTGCGGCCCTGGGGACTACAGCAAAGGCACCCTGCTGGTGCAGGATGTGGGTAGCGGGGGAGACTGTGCATGTTGTGGGGTGGGGGGAGTGATGGGGGAGCTCTTTATACTTTCTGTTCAACTTTGCTGTGAACCTAAAACTGCTCTTCAAAAAAGTCTGTCTTATAAGTAACCGGTAATAATAGAATAATTAAGTGACTTGTGACGATCACACAGAAAGGGGTAGACCTGGGATCTGAATAGGGGCAGCCTGCTCACACGTGGTCTGCGTTCTCTCCCACAGAGACGCTCCCCCTCGGATGGGACAGGAGAGGTTAATGAGTCAGGCTGCCCTGGAGGGTCTCTAAGGCTAATGTCCTCGGTCCCAGAGTTTCCCATGTTCTAGACATGCCGCCTGAGCCTCTGAAGGTACTTGGAGACTTACCAGTTAACTCTCTTTGCCAATTGTCACTCCTTACTCGCCTGTCATCTGTGCGCCCCACCCTCCACAAGCCCTAGGCTCTAAGAGCCTGGGGCCCTGACTGTGGCTCTGTATTCTTAGCTCGCAGCACAGTCTGACACACAGCAGCTGCTGAGAAAATGGATGAATGCAGGAGTGAAGAGGGAGAGGGGAGAAAAGGCAGGAAAGAGGAAAGGAGTAGGGTACAGGCTGGGGTAGGGAGGAGAAAAGGCTTGGCCTCCCTTGTTTGATCTCATCCCCTCTGTCCTCCTGGGGGCTGGAGAGCCCCCTCCTGTTGCTTCCCATCCGTCCCCACCCCACCCCCCCTCCAGACACGAGAAGGCCTTTGGCCTGAGCCCTGTCCATCCCCTCCAGGGATTCCTCATAAAGTCTTTAACCCTCAGAGGGAGGACGGCCCCATCCTCTTTCCACAGAATGAACGTGTTATTTGGGCAAAAGAGAAAAGGAGAAAAATTGAAGTGGAAAAATCTTTGATTTGGAAATTCAGCTGACTGACCTCGTTTGGAATAAAAGCTCCTTCAGGCTCTGGCCGCATGGCAGGCGGGCTGAGCCAACAGTAACACCGGATGCCGGGATGCTGGGAAGAGGCCTGGGGACGCGGCAGAGGGGCCGCCAGAGTGGTATGAATCGGGAGTCCAGGAAGACTGTGAGAGGGCTCATCTCTGGAGGCTGAATCCCAACCCCCTGCCTCATCAAGACAGTGGTCCGTCATCCTGTGGATCGGACCGAGCACTGTGCTGGCGGCAGGAAAAGGAGCAGAAGAGGCAGATCCTGAGGGAGGCCAGGGACTGGGTCTGCCTTCTCTCCTCAGCACCTACCTCAGTGCCTGACACATGGAAGTTGCCCCAAACCCACCAACTGGGGGAAAAAAACAAACAAAAAAGAGTAACCTTTGTCCAGAGGTTGACAGAGACCCTGCCCGTACCCTCAGCTTCTCCCAGCCTAATGGTGGAGAAAGAACAGATATAAAGAAAATATGGGATCCAAAGGTTGAGTACCACGTTGAACGTGAAGAATATAAACCAGGGGCTTATTTTCAGAGTAGCACCTGGACTGCCCGGCTTGGAACCAGGCAAGTTAACTGAGAGCCTCCTCAGAGTCCATCTTAAGTGGACTTCAAAGGAGCAGATGGAAAGTACTTGGCTGAAACAAATAAGATAGGTATCAAAGTGGGGAGGGACGGTCCAGTGGAAACCTGGGAGCTGGAGAGCAGGAGGCTGAGGGGGACGGGACGGGCAGCACTCACTGGCCGGGGCAGGTGTCTGACAGGCATCTGCAGGCTTGCTTGTGTGTAAGCAGGGCTGGTGTTTACACTGACTTGCTCGTAACCTGGGTAGCAGGGGACACAGCAAAAGATGATTTACAAACCTGAACATCATTTTCCAGATTCTTTGTTTTCAGCCTTGGTTGTGCTTGGAGGGGAGATAGATGGAGGCCCAAATGCAGAACAGCCCTGGGCCCAAATGGATTTCCACAAGAAGGGCACACAGAGGAATGGGGGAAAACATGGAAACACACAAGAGGTCAGAGGGGCGAGGCCAACAACTTCTTTGTTGTGCAAGAAGAGAGCGGGAGATCCGGGCCGCTGTTGAGAGGAGGCAGGGGAAAGTACAAAGAGACTCCTAAAAAGGTTGGCTGGGCGATGTGTGCTGTGATCCACTACCCATGTGTGCAAGCGCTTCAGTAAAGACCTGAACTTGCCCTTCAGGCTTCTGGAGCTGGGCCAGTGGTCCCGTCACTTGGGAACCTGCTGAATGAGGCTTTGGAGCAGAGGGGAAGCAAAAGCCTCGAGGCTATTCTGGTCACAACTCTCTGGCAAACAACAGTTTCTACCCAATATCCATTCTCTTCTTCCTTATTAATGAAACCACAGTTTGTCGCCCAGACACAAGATGACATCTCCCAGCCTCCCTTGCAGCTAGGAAAGGTCATGTGACACGGCTCCGACCTATGAGGCATCTGCAGAAGCTGCTGGAGGGTTTGTGGGGAAGTTTGGATTTCCTCATTGAGACCACCCCCTCCCCCTTTTGGGGTCCTGCCTGGAGCATGTGACCAGCAAGGAGTGGTGAGGCTGAAAGTCACGTGTGAAGGGCGGTGGAGCAGATGGGGTGGAGGAACCTGCCTCGGGGAGCTGATTCCCGTGAAATCAATAAGCAGCCACAGTAACGTGGGTCTGTTGGCGGCCGAAGAGTGCCATCCCACCTGATCCAGTGGCCTTTGCCCAGGTGGTGTCGCTTAGGAAGTGGGGAGCAGCCCCCAGGCCACGGCAGCAAAAGAAACGCGTCAGGGTTGGAGCATTCATTATTCCAGCCTCGACCCACCCTGCCAACTGGTGATGGGGAGGGCAGGTCCTCCACCCAACAGACTCTGCCCCCAGAGGTGGCCCAGCCCCCAGGCAGGGGGGAGGCAGGACGGCGAGTCGGCGGGCATCTTGTGGCTGGACCGAAGGCAGAAGGAAGGGGTGCGGAGTGTGTTGCTACTCCCCCACTCCCTTCCCACGTGGGGACTCCCGGGCCTGTCCCCATCCCCAGGCTGTAACCTACTCATTTTCATCTTCTCCTGGGCCTGTCCCCATCCCCAGGCTGTAACCTACTCATTTTCATCTTCTCCCGGGTTGAAGGACAGAGAAAGGAAAGCCTTGGTGGCCAGATTCCCTGGTTGTTGGTGGCCCCCAACCTGGTCATCATGCCTGTTACAGTGCAGGCTCCTGACCCCACCAGACCTGCACACTTGCCCACGGCTTCCCACCCCATCCCCAGCCACTGGCCACGTTCACGGTTTCCTCGCAACCTCAGAGCTCTAGCAGACATGGCTAGAAGACTTGGGTTCTCCTCTTGTCCTGCTCACTCACAGACCTTAGCTGGACATGTCGTGCCTGCTCCAGACTTCAGTCCCCACCTCCCCACCCTGCCTGAAGAGAAAAGCATTGCCCCATCGGTGGCTCCCAGGGACCAGTTTATGAAGGTGTCACCAGTCCCTGCACCGTAATCACAATGGCTATCATTTACTGGCTGGTTCCTGTGTGCTAAGCGTTTTTCACATATCAACTCATTGAACCCTCACAACTACTTAGGGAAAGTATGTCCTCCTATTATGACCTTCACTTCATAGATAATAAAACCAAGGCTCAGAGAAGTTAAGTAACTTATCTGAGGTTCTTCAGATCACAAGGGGCAGAACCAGGATTTGAACTCAGATATTGTGGCCCACGGCGCCTGGGTGGCTCAGTTGTTAAGCGTCTGCCTTCGGCTCAGGTCATGATCCCAGGGTCCTGGGATCGAGTCCCGCATCAGGCTCCTTGCTCTGCAGGGAGCCTGCTTCTCCCTCTCCTCCCCACTTATGCTCTCTCTCTCTCAAATAAATAAATAAAATCTAAAAATAAAATTAAAAAAAAATGAACTCAGATATTGTGGCCCAGAGTCCATGTGCCAAATCGTTCCGCTATGGCTGCCTGGGTGATAAGGAGAAGCTAAGGAGGAGGGGGAGGATAAATGCGTGCGCACACGTTATTTTAAAACATCTGTGTAATGCTGGTGCAAGTTAAACACTGACTTTCTGGGGCAGGACTGGGATATATTCTTTATATTAAGAGTGAGAGAATAAGGGGCGCCTGGGTGGCTCAGTCGTTAAGCATCTGCCTTTGTCTCAGGTCATGATCGCAAGGTCCTGGGATGGAGCCCCACATCGGGCTCTCTGCTCAGCGGGAAGCCTGCTTCTCCCTCTCCCACTCCCCCTGCTTGTGTTCCCTCTCTCTCTGTGTCTCTCTCTGACAAATAAATAAATAAAATCTTAAAAAAAAAAAAAAAAGTGAGAGAATAAGTCTTTCATATGGTCTATGTTAAAGTGGCCTTCTCTGAAATGACAGAGATGAGTATTTTATTTGCTCAACTGGCAAAACAATAACTAACAGCCTGCTATTTTTCTATGTTATCCCCCGCCCCACCCCACCCCCAGTGAGTTGTGACAGACCATGAAATTAAAAGTCTGGGAGTTTCTGGACTATAGGAACTCAAAGTCCTTGCTGGGTTAAATAGTCTAAGGTCTTCGGCCTCCAGATGAGGTGATTTAAGCCACATGTCCACCCCCCCCAATGCCACCCCGGCGCCCTGGTTAGCCTAGCAGGAGGGCAGTCACCCAGAGGGGTCTGTCAGAACATGCCTGCTTGAGGCCCAGCAAATATTTTGATCTATAAAGAAAGTTTCCTTTTCTGTCCTGGCCTCAACTTTAGCTCCAGCTCCTCTGTTCTTGTCCACCTCTTGGGATAGACGTCACGGAAAGAGTGTTAAATTACTCTTTAACTGGGTGGAAAGATTTTCTTTGAGGTCAGGCCCCAAACATAACCTCCCTGCACCAGATCCTGAATACCACGTAGCACAGAACACCTTGCTCTAGCCTGAGCACTATGGGAGAGGAAGCAAAAGGCAGAGTTATGGATTATCTTGAGACTATCTGTTCAAACTAACTGTTCTCCACCTATATGGATTCTGTCAAAGCCAGAAACAGAACCAGCAGTACTGGGGGCAGTCTATGGGTGTTTTCTGGAAAAGAAAGCTGGCAAATGGGGCGCCGGGGTGGCTCAGTCGGTTAAGTATCTGCCTTCAGCTCAGGTCATGATCTCAGGTCCTGGGATCGAGCCCCGCATCGGGCTCCCTGCTCAGTGGGGAGCCTGCTTCTCCCTCTCCCTCTGCCACCCCCCCGCTTGTGCTCTCTGGCTCTACCTCTCTGTCAAATAAATAAGTAAAATCTTTAATTTAAAAAAAAAGACAGTTGGCAAACACTTGCAGGTTTTTAAAAATTTTATTTATTTTTTAAACATTTTGGCACAAACAATGAATCATGGAACACTTCATCTAAAACTAATGATGTAATGTATGGGGATTAACATAAGAAAAAAAAAAAAATAAATAAATAATAAAAATAATAATAATAATAATAATAATAAACATTTGGGGACACCTGGGTGGCTCAGTCGTTGTGTCTGCCTTCGGCTCTGGTCACAATCCCGGGGTCCTGGAATCGAGCCCCTCGTTGGGCTCCCTGCTCGGCGGGACGCCTGCTTCTCCCTCTCCCACTTCCCCTGCTTGTGTTCCCTCTCTCGCTGTGTCTCTCTCTGTCAAATAAATAAATAAAATCTTTTAAAAAAAATAAAAATTTTATTCATTTGAGAGAGAGAGAGAGCATGAGCTGGGGGCAGCGGGGGAGGGCAAGGGCAAACTCCCCCACTGAGCAGGGAGTCGGACACAGGGCTCGATCCCAGGACTCTGAGATCATGACCTGAGCCAAAGGCAGACACTTAACCAACTGAGCAAACACTTGTTTCAAAGCTAATATAGAACAAGCAATTCGGGAGAAAGGGAGTTTGTCAGCCCTATGTTGTCATTTCTTTTTCTTACTAAAAGTTTCATAGTCCCCCATGAAGGAGGGAAGACGTTTGCTAACGTGCCCACAGCAGCCAGAGACCTTCTTAGGAGGGCCGGCAGAAGCCACAGAGCTTCTCCTGCTGTGGGGTCTCCATGCCTCTAACCCAGACGTGGTGGGCTGGACTCTGCCACCAACAAACTAAAACGAAACAGATGTAGGGTATTTGTGGTAAGAGGAGAGGATCTTTTTCTTTCTGTCTGTCGCACAAACACAGCAACAGAAGACTGATGAAGGCTACCAGTCTGGCAGAAATCTAAGGAGTTAGAGGAATAGGAATTGGACATCAGTGTTCCAGCTTTCAAACCAGACGTGAGTTGGAACCAGATGTAATGAGGGAGAGAAACAGTCGTTGACTATGTCACGTGGTGACCCCAAAGAGAGCATTCTTTCATCATCAAATGAGCTTTGTTGGCTTCACCACTCACAGGGAGACTAAAATACAGAAAAAGGAAAGAGGGGCTTGATCACAGGACTCATCTGATTCATTTGCTTTGAAAGACCCAGGCTGAGGGCCTGAACTGGTCAAGCAATCTAGCTATTAAAAGTGGTTCTCTCTGGCGATGGGGTTTTAAGAAATATTGACGTTGGCAAAGTGGATTGCTCCATTTAGAAAAATGTTTGCAGCTATGGTGGTCCATTAGAACACCAAGAAAAAGAACAAAAGAAAAAAATTTACTGGCGAGAGCTCTTATTAAATCCACAATCCCACAGTGTCAAAGTACCAGCAATCAACTTGCAAATTAAAATTGGCTATTTGTATTTTCTGAGCTTTTTGCAGGAAGGAGGGTCGGGGAGAGACTGCTTTTTATGGGCGGGTCCCAGGAAATGATTTCTGGTCTGGCTAGAGGCCCAGAGTTTAAATCACCAATTACTCCCCCACCGTGTCTTAACCTCTGTCACCGTAGGCTTTTCCCTTCAGCCTACACACAGGGGACAGGCGGCTTTGCCGTCTGCTCTACATGCTCGGATGATCCCATCCTAGACACAACTTTCCACCGACCTGGGTGCCCTTCCAGCGACGGCCCTGAGCACTCATCTTTTCTTCCTGGCCATGCTGCTTGAGCAAGAAGTCCACACGCCATTCTGTTAGGCTGGCCACATAAAATACAGGACACTGAGTTAAATTTGAATTGCAGACAAACAATGAATACATGGGACACACTTATTTAAAAACTGTTGATCAAGGGGCACCTGGCTGGCTCAGTTGGTTAAGCATCTGACTCTTGATTTCTGCTCAGGTCATGGTCTCAGGGTCGTGGGATCGAGCCCCAAATTGGGCTTCGGGCTGAGCATGGAGCCTGCTTCAGATTCCCCATCTCCCTCTGCCCCTACCCCCTCCTGCTCTTGCACGATGTCTCAAAAATAAATAAATAAATAAATAAATAAATAAATAAATAAATATTGTTTATCTAAAATTTCTAAGGAATTCTGGTTGAACAGGGCATTCTGTATTTTCATCTACTAAATCCGGCAATCCCACCGACCTCGGAGCCCCTTCCTTACTTTTCCTTTGGCTGCCCAGACCATTGAAACCTCATTTCTGCCTCCTCCTCTCCACTGATACTGCTCTCCCCAACTTCCCCAGGGACCCCCTAATGACCAAATCCAAAGGAGGTGTCCCCAGGTATTATAGCAGGGACTTCTCTGCAGCATTCAGCCATCACTCTGGTGACCCCTCTTACGGTGAAGCTGTCTTCTCTCTTGGCTTCTTGTTTCTCCATCTTTCGCTGACAACCCTTCACTGATTTCTTCATGCATCCTCCTTGTTAAGCCATCTCTTACGTGCTTGGTGTTCCACAGGGTTCTGTCCTTTGGCCTTTAGCACTCTACACACAGAGCCATGTTTGCTGCCATATTTCTCTCTCTGCTCAGGCTGCCTCGAACAGCCCTTGCCTGCTCATCCATCATCCTGGCTGCAGGGCTCCCGAGTACGTCTTGGGGAGAAATTTTCCTGCCCTAGGCCTCCAAGGAGACGGGCTCAGCTGTCAGAGAAGAGAGGGGTTTCCGAAGGGGTCAGAGATCCAGGCCCTGCAGGATTGATCGGCTATGAATTATGGATGTCACATCCCATTTGGTCCCAGTGCTCCCGAGCCAGAGACGATGTCCCTGCCTCCTTCCTTCCCTGATAGGCCCCTTCTCCCTGGCATGGCTTTAGCATGCACTTCTTTGCCAGTAGGTACATTCCTGCTTTGTTTTTTTATTTTGTTGTTTTTAAATAATCATTATTTCTACACTCTGCCCCCTTCCCCCCCCATCTGACTGGGAGCTCCTTGAGCTGAGTCCTCCTCCATCAGACTGTGCCCTGCTGGAGAGCAAGGCCTGACAATGCCCCATGGGGAATGGTCAGCATATGGGTATGACTGTGTGATTATAAAGACTGAAAGGTGGGAAGGGTGACAAAGAGTTTTTTGAGGGAAGAACCAGGAGACTGTGAAGGAGAGGATATACTCAACCCACTGCAATCTGGCATCTCCACCCAACAACCTGAAAAGCTGCTCTCCAGGTTGCTGGGCCTCTCAATTGCCCGCTCCAATACACATTTTTCAGTACTTACTAGTTGGGACATCTCTAATGCATTGGATTCTATGGATCACTCTCTTCTGCTGCCTTTTTTTCTTTAAAAAATAATGTTATTATATAACCCATGGTGGTAGTTCTCAGTCATGCTGCCATGGCACATTCTAGTGGGGGTGGAAGGTGGATGTGGTTGAAGTAATGAATCAATAACATGGTAAGTGGTTATAAATGTTTAAATAGAACAATGAATAGAACAAGAAAGGCGATAGAATCTCTTTTATAAGTTGACATTTATAAGGTGACTCGAATGAAGAGAGGGAGGAAAATCATGGGGCTAGCTGGGGGAAGGGTGCTCCAGAAAGAAGAAACAGCCGGTGCAAATGAATGAAGAGGGAGTGTGCAAAGGGGCCAGGGTGGTAGGATCAAAGAGGGGGTAGGGGCGTAGGAGATGAGGCCAAAGAATCAGCAGGAGTGACTGATCGTGGATGGCCTCATGAGCCATGGCAAAGATTTTGAGTCCATTCTTTGTGAGCTAAGAAGCTGTTGGAGAATTCAGTGGTGGCTCAGATAGGAGTGTACTGGTAGAGACTATGATAAATGGTTAGAATTGAAGGTACAGCTGACAGGACTTGCTGTTGGGCTGCATGTGAAATGTAACAGAAGGAAAGACAAACGCCAAAGTTTTTGACCTGAATGATTGGCAAGCAGGGTGGCGATGACATTTATGGAGAAGGAGAACACTACAGGGAACCCAGATTTGAGAAGGAAGACCAAGTTTAGTTTGAGACTTAAGTTTATAATACCCATTGACTAGCCAGTGGAGATGTATAATAAGTAGGTAGTTGAAAAGAGGAGTCGGATGCAGGACAGGGGTTGGAGATGGGGAGGTCGATTTGGAAGTTATCAACATAGAAATGATATTTAGAGCCATGGACTTGGTATATCATCTAAGGGAGTAAGTACAGATAGAAAAGAGGTCAGAAAGAGGAGGAGGAACTAGGAAAAGTAATGGAGAAGGAATTTCCAGAGAGGTAGGAAGAAAGTGATGAGAATGACTTCCCAGAGGCCAAAGGAAAGGAAGGTTTCCAGAAGGAGGGCATGATCAGTTATGTCTATCTGAGGAGCTACATAAGATGAGGAATGGCTGTGGGGTCCGACAGCGTGGAAGACACTGGGGCCCCTGACAAGAACTTTTTCAGTGGAATGGTGAAGTCCTCATCACCTAATCACACCTTCAAGGCCCCACCTCCTAACATCACTGCTTTGGACACCAGGATTTCAACATGTGAATTTGGTGGGGGACACAAACATTCAGACCATAGCAGGGGTACGTGAGGGCATGGCTAGCAGGGGGCAGGGACAATCAAGGGCCATCTCAGAGTCTGTCTGCTACAAGAAAATTGCTGGATTGTGCCGAGGACTTTATGGGTATATACATATTTTTAAACTCACCAAACTACATGTTAAAGCTGTGTAGTGTTTGTACATTAACTACACCTCAATGAAGTTGCAAAAAGCTAACAAACAAAAAACTTGACAAGCCAATTATAAAATTAATATGGAAAGGCAAAGAGCCAAGTTCAGCCGTAACAGAAGGAGGAGAGTCTTGCCCTAACAGATATGAGGATTTGTTTAAAAAAAAAATTACCATAATTAAGACAGTTATCAGGAGAGATAGACCAGTGGAACAGATTAGAGAACACAGAAACAGACCCACACATGTGGGAGCTTGACAAACAACAGAGAGAACATTCTAAATCAACAGGGACAAGATGGACTTCTAAATAGATGATGCAGAGACAACTGGGTTTCCATATGGAAAAAAATAAAATTAGATATTCACTTCATAAATGGTCACAAAAATAAATTTCAGGTGGAGTAGATACCTAGATGTTTCAAGAGCAAAACTGTAAAACTTTGAAAAGAAAATATAGATATATATCTTTATGCCTTTTGTGTAGAGAAGATTTTGGAAACAATGGAAAATGTAAACCATAAAGGAGTAATTAATTTGAGTGCCTGAAAATTATAATCTTCTGTATAACAAAAATACCACCTATTAAATGAAACACAGGCCATACAATAGGAGAGATTATTTACAACATATATAACCGAACAAAAGATTTGTACCCATATTATATATTTTTTAAATGCCCTAGGATCAGTAGGAAAATTATAAACCCAATAGACAAATAATATGAACAGATAATTCACCAAAGAGAAAACCCCAAATTCTATATGCTTGTGAAAATATTCTCAACTTCACTAGTAATCAAGGAATGCCAATTAGAAAATTAATAAGGATACTCACACCCCTCAGACTGGAAAAATTTTAAAGTCTGACAACACTGGACACTGCCAAGGAAATGAAAAAATATGAACTTGTATTCTCTTAGTTGGAATGTAAACTGGTAAAACCATTTTGGAAAAATAATTTGGCAGAGTTGAAGGTGCACATAGCTCATAGCTTAGTCCACTGCTATGTACATACATATTCTAAAGAAACTTGCACAATTGCATAAAAAGACAAAATATTTATTTTAGCAATGATTTTCCTCCCTGTGAAGCTTAGCTGTATCTGCTGAGTTTTGTTTGCAGTATGCATACGGTTCCCAGCACGTGGTTAACGGCATGGACTCTAGAAACTGATCTGCCCAAGTCCTGGTTCCATCACTTATGAGCTGTGTGACCTCAGACAAGTTACAAAACCTTTCTGTGCCTCAATTTCCTTATCCGTGAACTAGAGATTATAATTATACAACCTCCTATAGAAACTCTGAGGATTACCTGGGTTCTGTGCACAATGTTTAGAACAATGCCTATCACTTAGTAAGCACCATGAGCATTAGCTTTTACTGTATCTTAAAAAAAAAAATCTGAGTAACTTTCTAAAGAGTTTTGAAAGCAACCTTACTCCTTCCCCTTCCTGCACAATTCAGTCCTGAAGCTGTTAGGTAAAGTAGAGCAAGGTAGGCGTCCATGGAGAGGGGTGCCCTAGCATGGGGTGTTAGAGCCTGAACCGAGTGAGGAAGGCATTCATCTGTGCTAGCTGAAGGCCCAACACTGGGTGTCTGAGCCCAAACAGGGTAAGGAGGGCATCCACGTAGCAGGGGAGGACTGGCATGGGTGTTGGAGTCCGAGCAGAGCGGGAAGGTGTCCACATGGGTAGGAGGAACACTGGTGTGGGGAGTCAGCACCCAAACAAGGTAAGCAGGGTATTCATGCAGGGACAGCCCAAAAGAGGCATTGGAGTCCAGGGGAGGGGGCATGAAGAATGCATTCATGAGTAGGAGGGTGGCGTCTTTTATGAGGTGTCAGGCCAAACAGGGCAAGTAGAGTTTCCACATAAAAGAGCAGCTTGCATGGAGACTCAGAGTCCATGCATGGTGACCAGATGTCCACACACAAGGGTGGCCCAGAGAAGGACATCAGAGCCCGAGCAGGATGAAGAGGGTGTCAGCAAGGGGCAGGATTGGCAACAGGGATGGGAAATTGGCTACAGGGGTAATTGACCGAATGAGATAATCTTTTAATTATAGTGAGGGCCAGGGTTCTCTCCCTTGGAAAAAGGAGTTGCAAATATGGGAAGGGAGAAAAGTGGAAACTGACCTGCAGTATTAGATTCGAATCAAGGGCATCATAAACACATGCACATGTTCTAGCTCTGTCCACTGAGTAAGCCCCACTGAGAGGGCCTGGGAAGAACAAAACCCCAGTAGCTCCAAGCACATGTGGCTCCCAGATCCCAGCTTCTGATGATCACTCACCACTTAAAGACACTACAGCTCTTGGAAGAAATTCCTGCTCTCAAGTTTGGAGCTGAGAAAGTACGAGATGAGCCTGAAACATCTTGTGCCAAAGGCAAGGAAGGGCTCAAAGAATGATGGAGGCGAAGGGGCACAGAAGCCAGCTTGAAGGGGCGTGTACAGTCGAGTCAGAGATAATCTGAACATCCAGATACATGTTAGTAACAGATTATATAGCCCGTTGAGTAAAAGGCAAATCCATGAGTCAGCAAGCTATGTCCTGTGGACCAAATCCCGTCCGCTGTCTGTTTTTGTATGGCCCACAAGAGTGGTTTTTACAGGGGAACCCCTGCAATCAGTGTGATAATAGGGAATGCTAACTTTGAGCCCCAGTTAAGTCTAATCTCCCCCCAACCAAATACAGAAGTCTATTCTCATTAGGAGACTTGCATTACAAAATATATATATATATATATACTCAATAATTACATTTTTAATTTCATCAGCGAAAATCTGTGGAAATTATTTTCCCCTCTTCTTATAACAGTACCCACATAAGGGGTGCCTGGGTGGCTCTGTCAGTTAAGTGTCCGACTCTTGATTTCAGCTCAGGTCATGATCTCTGGGTCCTGAGATCGAGCCCCATGTCAGGCTCTGCACTGAGCATGGACCCTGCTTGAGATTGTCTTTCTCTCCCTCTGCCCCTCCCCCTGCCCATGCTCTCTCTCTCAGAAATAGTTAATTGATTATTTTTTTTAAAAAGGTACCTACATAATACCCTCACTTTTGCCTCTTGTTCCTGCAAAGTCTAAAATATTTATTATCTGGTGCCTTTAAACACAGAGTTCATTGACTCCTGGTCTAAACTAATACAAAGAAATGAATAAATTGAATGTCTGATGAGGAATGGTATATCTAAATAGTTTCAAAGTATTTCTTAGTTACATAAAATACTTGTTAGTTACAAAAGGAAAAGAAAAACACCATAGCGGAGAATCCTAGCCGACCTCAACTGAAGTGATTGGAGAAGCCCCCTCACAATGGGACAAATGGAAATTGAGCTTCACTTGATAGGGTGCAATGAGACGTAGACCACTCTTGTAATATTTCTGCCAAAGACTCGTAACCCAAATCAGATCAGGAGGAATCAAATAAACCCACAATGAGAGACATCTACAAAATAACTGGCCTATAATCCTCAGAAGTGTCAAGGTCATGAAAGTCAAGGAAAAACTAAGAAACCAGTCCAGATGGAAGAGATTAAAGAGACACAGCAGCTAAATGCAACACATGATTCCAAACGAGATACTTTTGCTGTTAAGGAGATTCTTGGGATAAATGGCAAAACAAAATAGAAAAACAAAAACCCTTAAGAATAATTATTTTTAAAACTAGGTATTTAAGAATCTTTTAAAATAAAAATAATTAAATATTTTACAAGGAAACAAAGTAAAATTATGTATATAATGTAATCAATATGAATAATTAATGGAAAATAAAAGCTAAGATCTTCAAAGGAAAAAAAAAACCAGAGGGGAAAGGTATATAAAAATAGAGACTTAGTGAACAAACAAGAACAAAAAAGCTAGACATGAGCAAGCAGTTTATATACATCAGAATACTTCCCCACCAAGAAGGAGAATTAAAAATGACAAAAATTGCTAAAGAACATGGAGTAGAATCAGGGGCACTTCCACCAAAAAGAAGGAGAAAAAGAAGAAAATATCAAAAGTAGAAAAGGATCCAAGGAATAAACCACATTTTTCGGGACTGTGGGGAGAAACTAGAGCCCAAAGGAAAAACTAAAGAAAGAGCTTTATATCTCCTTCAACTCAGAAAGTGAACATGCATCTGAGGCATGCCTCCTGCGAGGAGAGACTGGGGAGACCAGGCTGCTCTGGTTTCACCATCCCCTGGAAGTTTTCTACCCTGCTCCTGCATATTTCTGGAGACAGGGGAAAGAGGGTCATTCACATTACCTCAGTGGAGTCACATGTACACAAGAGCCCAGGAAGAGATGAATGGCCAGGTCTTGGGAGAAACGAAAAATTGGAGGGTGTTCATAGCCCTTTGCGCTGGTGCTCCGCCATGAAAATGACTACTATAGACTGAATGTGTGCCCCACCCGCCATTCCTAGGTTGAAATCCTAACCTCCAATGGGGTGGAATTAGGAGGTGGGGCCTCTGGGAAGTGATTAGGTCATGAGAGCAGAGCCCTCACAAATGGGATCAGTGCCCTTATAAAAGAGACTCGAGAGAGCTCCCTCCTACTTCTGTCATGTGAGGGCACAGCAGGACGACAGCCATCTATGAGCCAGGAAGCGGGCTTTCATCAGACGCCAGATCTGCCAGCGCCATGATCTTAGACCTCCCACCCTACAAAGTCGTGAGAAATCAATGTCTTGTTCCCAAGGCACCCAGTCTATGGGATTCTGTTTCAGCAGCCCAAACAGACTCAGTGACTCTACAGTTACACTACTCAACTTGTGTCATCTTTTCTTGCTCAACCACACCTTTCCATGCTACTCCATGGAGATTTAGAGATGGATATGGGTAACAAGATGCTAAAACGCAACTCTTTCTCCCTCAGTTTTGACTGGGAGCCCAAAAGCTTAGCACAAAACAATAGGTGCAAAGTGACCTCACATCCCAGAGTGAAGTGCTAATCCGCTATGCAGGACTTGCAAAGGAGATATATAAAAACCCATTTTGCAACCCTAAGCACATCAATCACCTTGAGGGTATTGAAGGGTTGAGACTGAAGTTGGGGGAGGAGGAGTCAGAGACAGAGAGAGAGAGGAAAAAAAAGAGGATTTGAGTTTTTGGAGAAAGCTGTAGGAGTGTTGCAGAGGAGGGGAAGAGAAGATTGCCCCTCAAACCAAGTGATGAGGACATTAAGGGATCATATGGAGAATATAACAGGATGATAGACTGGTGCAGGACCCATGCCTATAAAGGTATTAAAGGCAAGAGACTGTGGGCATCTAGTGCCTTGGCATAGTGGAGCAGAGAGAGCCACGTTGGGAAGTTTCTGTTCTCTCATGATGGTAGGACCAATATCTTGATAGGATCCTGGAATAAGGATGGTGGCTTGGGCCTCTCTATGAAGGGACCCTGCCCAAGAAGACTGCTCAGAGGAACTTCAGGGCCCCACCAAGAATCTGTGTGGTGTGGACCCCAGGATACCCATGAGCTAAGGAAGGAAGGGTGAATGGCAGCTGGAGGAAAGGCATGGTCTGTATCAGGAAGCTACCATCAGAGGAACGCAACAGGAGCATCACGAAGAAACACATGTAAGATACAAGAGAAGAATGACAGCTTTAAATATCCACCAAGGCCAGAAAATACCAGCACTATACTACAACAATCAAGTAAGACCTTTCCATCTCTTCCATCTTTCTCCTCTCTGAGCAACAGCCTGGGGGGGCAAGGGGCAGCCTAGTGAGGGAAGGGAAGACGAGGAGATGAACAAGGTGGGGAAACAGAGGACAAGCTGATCACCGTTCCTCTTGCCCCTGCAGCTTCTGGCCTGAAGCAGATAAGGACTGAGAGAGAGAAGCTCTAATATTATACAAAATTTAGAGTTTTGATCCACTAGACAGGGAAGAATTGATGTGTCAGGGGAAAGAGGGGCTGACCACAGTAGTGAAGGTCTTGAGTGGACAGGAAGAGAAGGGATCAACCCAATGCTTCAGGGGAGGGACCTGTCTCAATAGAACAAAAGCTGTTCATCCTGTAGCTGGGGGTTGCGGGGGTGAAACGACTACGGAAATGTAGCTGGATTTCCCGGCAGTCCTGAGCCTCCTTTAGAGATGAGTCGTCTTGCATTTAGGAGAGGACCAGGCAATGCAGTGGTGGCTTTCTTCTGACCATGTCTGCTTGCTTGGGAATGGTACAGAACAGAGTGCTGGGTCTACCAAGGTATTGGTTTTTGCTGGGCAAATATGCTGGAGGAAGACAAGGACGTGCACAAGGGGTGAGTACACCAAAGGGCCATAATACCTACCTGGGGCAGGAGGGAGGTGAAGACAAGAGGAGGATGAGGGGCACTAAATCACAGGGCCAACATCACAAAGGTCCCGATGAGCATGAAGAACCGTGGGGCTGATTGCGTCTATAAGCGGCCATCACAGACAACCCTAAAATGGAAGACACAAATCTGTTAACACCGCTCACGCCCACCACTCTACCCTTTACACCCTTCAGAGGCTTCCCCCTGTCTGTTGTCTGATGCTCCTATCCCTGGTGTGCTCTGTTTATCCTTCAACAAAATGCAGGAGCTGTGAATCTAGCTCAGTTCTGGGTCCTGAAATGCCACTAAAAGGATTTTTCCCTCAAGTTTCAGTCCCTATACTCTGTTTTTCTGCACACTGCCATTTCTGGATAAAGCTCAGTCATTTTTCAGAAAGTCAGAGCTGGGTAGATGCATAGGCCCCCCTCAACCCCAGCTGGGTAAAATGTTCTCCCTCTCATGTACAAATGTTTCCCACAGGAGAGCATTGGGAGACAAGTGGTATCCCAACTCCTTTAGGTGGGGTCCAGGAAATAATGGGGAGACGCAATAGCCATAGACCCTCCAGGACCCTCCAGCTAAAATGGCAAAGGGCCAAGACCCAGATAATGTCAGGGAACTCCAGCCAGAGAACTATCCTTAGAGCACAAGGGTCTCAAGGGAATAAAACCAGAAGCTGTCACATAATCTTGACTGGGTCAGCTGAAGTACTGGAGCTGGCTGTGGAAGGTGGAAACTCCTGACCTGTGTGTTGAGCTGATCTGGCCAAGTACACGTGATAGGTAGACTCCCCCCGGCAAAAAAGTGTTTTTCAACCTCTTTTCTCTTGCAAGCTGGTGTCTATTCCACCTTCGGAAGACAGAATCTCCTTAAGGAAATGGAGCCCATTCTTAACCTCCCTTGGTGACATGGCCATGGCTTCTAATGGGAGCAGTCCTCACACCAATGCATTTATCCTCGGACTCTAAGTAAAAAAGGAACTCCTGCAGCATGCTCTGGAGCCAGCCCACACTGGCTCACAAGAATGAACTATCCAATTTTCCAGAACCTTGTGAGCTGGTTGTGAAAGGCATACATCATTTGGAATTAAGTTACATAAGTTTAATGTGACGACATCACATTAAAAAACAAAGATAATAAACCCTGAAAGTTATTAACAGAGATAAAAAGTACTGAGAACTCAGCACACGCTAATTATTTTACTGTGTTTTGTTATTATCTGTGCTCTTGAGGTTATAGACATCTGTTGATTCTATATGGCAGAAATATTGTAAATCAGAGCACTGCTGAGCATCTCTTCGTAACTCTGTGTTCGGTGACTTCAGTTTTGGCAGCTCCAAAGAGGCAGTGGGGATCAGCACCCTCACCCCTACTCCCCAGAGAGCCGGAGTGCGCCCCTGGGCCTCAGGGCCCTGGGGGAGAGCAGTTAGAATGACTACGCATCTCCCTGCCATTTTCCCTGCCCTATCCGCACTCCCTCCTTGCTGTGGGGAGGGGACAATGCTGCCTTTACTTGAAGGGCACCTCGGCCAGATGGTCTCCCTCAGACAGTGGTGCTGAGGAGCTGGCTGAGGAAATATTTTCCCAGCTCTGCCTGGTTTCCTTTTGAACGGGAACAAAACCAGTTCTAAGGAATGCAGCCGGTAGGTCAGTAAATAGGGCGGCTGTGATGTGAGTTCCAGCTGAAAGAAAGCAAACTTGTGAGTCTGGTTTGTGCAAAAAGCAAACTTATAGACTCAGATTTTCCTCCCATCCTGCCCTCCCCTCTCTCTCCTCTGGGCCAACACTGCCCTCCCCCTTCCCCAGAGATGCAATGGGCACCTGGTGGCTCCTTGGCTCTAGGACAGGAGAAACTTGCTCTTTTCTGGACACTTGTTTCCAGTGGTGGAGCTATTTATTCCTCCTTCCATAGTGGACATTGCTTAGGCACCATGGGACTCTTTCAAGGGCCCATGTTCAAGGATCCACTGTTCTGAATTAGAATAACCCTCCAGCCCCGATTCCATTCAGAGCTCAGTCATGTCACCTGAGGGCCAAGTATAAGACAGGGAGGAGATGGGGCAACCTAGCAGGTTTGGGAAATTCTGCTAGATTTCTGATTCTCCCTAAAAATACATAATTTTCTTTTCTACCCCAAAACCTGTTGGTGAATTAGCCACACTACGGACGCACTGTGGACACGTACTCCATGCTAGGATATGCCAATGTCACTGCAGAAATGGCTCTATTTAGGGCACCTGGGTGGCTCAGTTGGTTAAGCGACTGCCTTCGGCTCAGGTCATGATCCTGGAGTCCCTGGATCGAGTCCCGCATCGGGCTCCCTGCTCAGCAGGGAGCCTGCTTCTCCCTCTCCCACTCCCCCCTGCTTGTGTTCCCTCTCTTGCTGTGTCTTTCTCTGTCAAATAAATAAATAAAATCTTTAAAAAAAAAAAAAAGAAAAGAAATGGCTCTATTTACTAGCTTCTACTTGTTTGTGTATATGTTAGTGTGTAGTGGAATCATCTATCACGAACCCGAATGTCTACAGGTAGACGTGTGTGTGTGTGTGCGTGTGTGTGTAGGAAGACAAGCATATGTGAGCACCACATTGTAGGTGTCTGGTGTTTGAACATGTACAGAACAATGTGTGCAGCTGTGTGATCCTCTGCCTTTGTGTATGCAGACGTGATAATATGTGTAGGGTAAACCCAGTGACTTCCACAAACGTGGTTCAAATGCTTGGAGAATGTCAGCATATTCTAAAAATAGGGGAACTGAAATATTTTGAAGGATTTCTTTTAATAAAAACACACCCAAACACATTTCTTCTTAAGGATTCCTGACGTGTAATGGGAAAATACCAAACATTTGCATTTTTCTGTCCTGTTAAGGATTGTTGATTTTATCCAGGGACAGATTTCATCATTCATTTTAAGCTAGAAGTTCTTTAGAGGCAAAGTCCTAAGGGGAAGGAGGAGAGGCCACGGCCTCTCATCCAAACTGGGGCAGGTTTGGATGTATCAGGCCTCCCTTGCTTCTTTTCAGCTGTTACCATCTGCCTTTAAAACATTTTGGTCCTCCTCCCACTGTTCGAAGAGAAGGAGCTGGTCTCTAGTTGTGGATCCATTTGGAACATGGGCAAGGGACCAGGGGTCTATGCCCTTCTTTTTTTTGAGGACAAGGAAACACAACAACGACATGATATCGCGTTGTAGCAGAATGAGGTTAGAACCAGGGAAAATGTCTACTTCTTAAGGGCCATGAGATTTTCTGCAGTGTTTGTGGCATCTCCTCCAGAAGATTCTAAGAGGAGACTCATTGCTCTCTGACGTGAATTAAAAGTAGGGTCATGGAGAGGCATACAATCAGGAGGATGGCCTCTGGAAGTTTTAACAGTACATAACTTATGTCTATTGGGCCTTTGTTATGGTGGCATGGATTGAAGATTTTGTGTGTATCGACTCATTTAATCACCACAACTGTGTAAGGATGATTATCACCTCTAGTTCACATATGAGGAAAATGAGACACAAAGAGGTAGACACTTGGCCAAGGTCATGGAGTTAACAATGGATTGCACGATGGATCCAGGGTTCATACCCAAGTGGTCTGGCTCCGGAGTCCATGCTGGTAGCCATTAGGCCACCTTAGTCCTGCCAACTCAGCTCCACGGCTCTGTGTCACTTAGAGAAGACAACGCCTCTTCTTAGTGCTCACATACAGAAGTTTAAGGCTGAAACAGGTAGACATCAAAGGTTCCCAACTACCAGGAGTACTTTTAGATGTGTGTGTTCATGCCATGAACACCCTAAGCTGGAAGGGAACCTCGGGAAGTCACCTGTCCTCATGGGTCAAGGTTGGGGAGTTTCTGCAGGAACAAAACTAACATTTATGGAGCCACTGGTGTCTAACAGCTGTTGAGCTTATCTAACAGCTGCTGAGCTCCTGGCCTGTGTCAATGACCAGCATTTCTCAGTCACCAGGTCTTGACACAAACCCTTTGTAACAAACGCTTTGCTCTGTCATTTCCCCTACGGTTGTAAAGTCTATCTTAAGTAAAAGCCTGCCAGGCACACAGACTTCTTCTAAGGAAAATTGTCCTGCCTACAGTGCCTGTAAGCTTGTGGTTCTGTCTCCCTGGATACAGTTGCCCGGAGGCAAAGGTGACCCAATGGCAGCCAATGCACAGGTGGGCCAGCCCAGGCTAACAAGGTGAACAGAGATACTCATATATGGTTGTTTTCAGGAATCCAAGCCAGGAACTATTGGGAAAAGGAGGTCGTTAACAGTGGAAGTTAAGGTGGAAAAATTAGGATATACAAAGAAATATACAAAGAAGGGAACGGCCATGAAGATCATGTGCAAAATGAGGTTACAAGGGAACAGAAACTGGGAGTGAACAGCAACTATAAGGGGGTCTAGAGAGAGAGAGATGATGATGATGACAGTGAAGAGACAGACAGAGACAAAGAGACAGAACAGTAACAGAGAGAACATGGCTGAATCCCAATGGCCTTCTGGTTTCAGAACAATCACGAACCCCTATGTGCCCTAAAGCAGCTTGAATGAGCTCCTGGCAACCTAAAGGCCTGCTTAGAATTCCGAAGTTTTCAAATCATCTATGTTTTTCATACTGTTAAAATTCAGAGTTGATGTTATCCCGTAAAGTCTTTTGTTGATTTGTGTTTTAAAATGCCATTTTGAGTGGGGGAAAATATCAGTAAAGGTAGGAAAATTTCACATAACATGAGCTATATTTTACCTGTGTCAGCAGCAACTACATCTCACATACATTAATAGTGGTAACAAATACAGATTACTGTAGTCCTTTGCTTACCTGCAACACTGATTCAGGTATGATAAAAGCTTGGTGTGTCATTCATGTGAATGCAAAGTGCAGCACGCGGCAGCGGGAAGCGGATGAGAACCACAGGTGGGTCTTCTTACATGCCATTCCACAGAGTCCGACAGAGACGCCAAATGCTAAGTCCCCCTCCCTGCTCCTCACCACCCCCCCACCCCGCACCCGCCCCCACCAAAGATTTGGAGCTAGAACATGTCAGAAAAAGGATACAAATTTAGATCTTGACTTGACATTTCAGGAGTTTGATGGGCTAGAAATTCTGAAGGCTTCTGCTACTAAACAACTAATCCTGCGCAAAACATAATTGTTATTTCAATGCCGGGTTCATAGTAAATCATCCTATAAGGACGGAAAAAGGCCTTAAAAACCATGAACTAAAACCAGTACTGGGAATGGTGAGCATAAGTTAAAGGTGAAGGTGGCCCAGACGACAAATGCTCCTATCGGGGCTGCCCGTAGTAGACCAAGCCTTGGGCCATCAGCAAAGTGGGGAGTTGAACCCAAGACACTGAGGTTAAGCCAACGACCCATGGGGTTAAAGCAGTCCCTGGTCAGGAGTGCTCCTTGCTTCCGGCAGAAACAAATGCAAATTCTCACTGAGGAAAGCATCTTCATGTTAGTTCTCCGGGTTTTTCCGAAATTAAATCAACCAACTAGGAGATCACAAAGATCACCAAACACAGAAGCAATGAACCACCACAGTAAATGTAGACCCCTGCCTCCCCACAAGGGCTTCAGGTATTGAAACGATCAGATACAGAATAGAAAGTCATGGTATAGAAAATGTTTAAAGAAATTTGAAAAAGGAATGACAAATATGAGCAGGGAGCTACATACCACCAGAAATGACCAGGCATGTTTGAGAAAAGAACCAAAAAGGCATTTTATAGGTGAAACACCATATTTTTTTTTAGGAAATATTTTCTTTTTAAGTAATATCTACACCTAACGCGGGACTTAAACCTACAACCCCGAGATAAAGAGTAGCACACTCTACTGACTGAGCCAGCCGGGTACCCCTTGGTGAAACACCATAAAGAGCTTAAACAGGAGATGAGACAAAGCTGAGGAGAGAATAAACAAAGTATAAATACAGGACAGAGAGAGAGAACATATGAAAAGCATTAAGCAAGAATGGAGGATGGAATGAAAAAACTGAATAAACATTTAACCAGAATCCCAGGAGAAAGGAGAGTGAATGGAGGAGAAAGAGCATTTGAAGAGAATTGTCCAGAACTTGGGAACGACATGAGTCTATAGAGAGGACTGCAACACGTACCATGCAGAATGAACACACAGAAACTCACACTAGACACATTTCGAGGAATGTGAAGAATAAGAAAGGCAAGGAGAGGATCTTGTCATCAGTAAAAGAGGAAAGCGAGATCACCAGCAAAGGCATGACATGTAGACAACCTCAGACTTCCCAACAGCCATGATGGAAGCCAGAGGTAGTGGAGTAATGTTGAGGGGGGAAAAAAACCTCTTAACCTGCGATTGCAGAAATAGAAATGTTATTATTCCTAATCGGGGGTGAAATAAAGACATTTTCAGAACTCGGACTCTGGAGTTCATGCTTCTTCCCCTGGATTATGCTGCTGGTACTTCTCAGCTACTTCGAGATCTGCCATTGTATTACAAGAATTCCCTTCCAGGAAATGGTGCTCGATTCTTCTCTGTCCTCCTGCCTTAGCTATTTCTCCTAAGGTCAGAGCCCATTTGTGAAGAGAACATGCCATTTGCTTGTTGTTGAGGGAGCCCCAGGCCTAAACCCTGGGGAGTTCTCCATCAGGAAAGACCCTGAGGAAGCCAAGGCGTCGCTGGGCTGTACGCCCGTGGCAGTCTGGGGCTGAGAAGGGGCTCAAGCCAAGCAGAGGGGGGCATTCACGGAACATACTATGAAGGCCAAGTCCCTTCTAGAAAACTTCCAGGCTCCCTTGGAGGCCACAGCTTGGTAAACACTGAAACTTTAAATACTATCTTAGTGGAGGGAGCAGAACCTTGCAGGCAATAATCAGCTCAGTGTTCCCTCTAGGCCCGGGGGCTGGCTGGGGTTTGCCTTCTATTTTCCCAAGGTCAGAAATGACTTTGTAGTTCCCTTGGCTCAATTTCCTTTCAGATCAGCACTAGGCTTTTAAAGAAAAGTTTTCTCTCCTTGAAATGCTCTAAACTCTCAGCTAAACCTCCTGGCCTTAAATCACAAATCCGTGTCCTCCCCCTTCTGCTTCTCCCCTGAGGAGCAACCCCGAGGGTGATTGATTGGCTTAACATTTGCTGGTACAAATATTTGAACGAGCTAACATTTGAATCCATTTATGTTATTGCTTTCTAGGGGCTGGCATTTCTTGAAGGTCTCTTCTGGCCCTCCACAGAAGAGGCGAGTTCTTCCTACCTGGCCAATAGACATATTTATCAGGGAAATGATTTTTCTCTGTTACTATGCCTCTGCACCAGTAGGTTGATTCAGTAATAAATGTGAGACTTTTCAGCTCTAAAACAAAACAAAACAAAACAAAACAAAACAAAACAAAACAAAACAAAACAAAACAAAAACAACCGAGGGAGGAAACGCAGGAGCCAAACAAGGGGGACAAATGGATAGGTTGCAGAGGAAAAGGGAGTTCCGAGAAGCCTGTGGAAGGGCTGCCCTGTCCCTCCCAGGACCTGTATCTCAGCCTCCCCAGGTGTGTTCCCCCAGGTGTGTTCCCTCTCTCTCTCTCCCTTCTTCCCCATCCCTTCCCCTGCTCTGGGCCGGCCTATACCTCTACTTGGCTCCCACCCTAACATTCCTGCTCCTCCCCTTCTTCCAGGACGCCTGGACCAGAAGGGACTTCCCCCTGGAACCTACACCTTGCTGCATCCTCTTTTTACCCTTAAGTAAAAAGGCTTGGGCCCCTGGAAGTCCTACTCTCATTCCCTGTATTGGGTAAGATAATACTAACCGCTGTCACAAATAAACCTAAAAATATATATGGCTCCAATGTGATGGAAATATATTTCTTGTTCACATAAAGTCCAAAATTGGTCTTCTGGACTAGCAGACAGTCCTCCTCTGAACAGTGGCTGGCATCCAGGTTTCTTCTATCCTCCAGCCCCACCACCTCCGGCCCCTGCCTCCCTGGGGGCCAGGGGAGACTCACATAGGCCTTGGCACCAGAAACCTTTATGGGCCAGGCCCCAAAACAGTGCTGCTCCTCCCTGCATTGGCTGGAACCCAGTCACATGGCCAGGGAGGCTGGCCATAGGTAGGGTGGCTGTCTCCCAGCCCTGCACCCCTCACTTTGCTATTTCGCCTGCCACACCTTTACCGGATACCAGTTAAGACAGGCTCTGCTGTTCAGAGAAGCTCACTCATTTTTCTAGACAGGGACGGTCACTAGATGTCCCCTCCAGGTCACTTCCGAGGATGTGGGTGTGGCCCCTCGCCACTCTCTTGAGAAGCATGGGGAGGCCTGGCTGGCTCTTGAGTGCCGGAATTGGCTCACACAGAGCAGGTGTGGTGGCAATGGTTCCGTTTATTGACTGTCCCTGCCCCCACGGCATCATTTTATTTCCCTAGTGACTGTGGGTCTCAATGGCTGGTGCCATCACCCTCAGGTTGTTGGTCCCCCTCCCAGTCCCCTTTTCCCCTCTGCGCTCAGCCTCTTCCTACCTAGATGATAGCGGTTAACCTGCAGAGCGGAGCCATCCTCCGTAAGATCAGGGAGAAGGAGCAGACCATGAAAGGCTCTGCAAGCAGACCTGTGACCTAGGCAACGCTGAGCAGTGGAGGGGACATGGGAGACAGCTGTGTTTTAGGAAGCAGCCTGCTGTGGGGGAGGGGCTGTCACGGCTGCCGAGGGCAAGGAGGGCGGCCAGAAGGCGGGTCTTATCAAAGTGATAAAGAAATCTGGTCAGGGGCCTCTGCTTCTCCAGCCCCTTCTAACACTCAGCCACCGCCTCCCCCATGGCTGGAGCACGGAAAGCTGAGGTTCTGGTGTCCAGGTCACAGTTGATGGAGATCATTTGCATTGACCCCTTTTCCATCTCACCAAATTGGCTCCATCCCTTCCCCAAGGCTAACAAGATGCAAATACGTGCAAGTCCCTCCCGCAGGTCTGCTTCCCTAAGGGAACAGAGTCCCAGTTAACCCAGCCCTGAGTGGCAGGAGTGTTAGACCCCCGAACAGAACGGCAGGTCCCGGAGCCTGAGAGGGGACACGCTCGGCCTCCGCAAAGTTCCCAGTCCTTGATGTCCATCAGAAACACCTGGGGAGGTTGTTACAGTTACAAATGCCTGGACCCCAAGCCAGAACCCCTGAATTCGAGTCTCCTGGCATAGCGTCCCCTTGGCTGTGCCAACAGCTCCGCAGCGAGTCCAGAGGCGCACAGAAGTCTGAGAACGACTGGCTGAGGGCAGTCAGTTCTACGGAATCTGAGACGAGAGACGCTCCAGAGAGACTCGCCCAGCGCGCCCTTCGAATCCCATCACCGGAGGAGCGGCGGTGGGCATGGCGATGGCCGCGAGCACCTCCTAGCTGCTCCCCACGTGCGGGCTGCTATCTGTCCCACCTGCCCCCAGCCCCTGCCACACTATCAAGAGGTGACAATGAAGGGATCGGAGAGGGGGTGACAAGAAAGAGAGGGCTGGCCACCCAGGTAGTATCTCCTGCTTCCGAGGAATGGCACAGTCCGCCTTCTCTGCCGGCCTTGTCCTTCTCTGCGTCGACTCCTGGCCTCCGGACCCTTCGAGGCTCCCTGGGAAGCCTTGGCTAACTCTCCACTCCAGCAGAGCCTACAATGCCTTCTCGGTGCTCTTTTGCAATTTTATGCATTCATAGCTATGAATGTGCTCTCTAGTCATGTGCTCCTTGAAAACAGGGGCTCCACCGTCCTGTCGGTCATTGTAGTCCCCATGCGTGGCCCATTAGGACACTCAGTACATGTTGCTGAAACAGATGAATGAGGGAGTGAAACATTTATTGGGCACCTGCTATGAGGCAGACACCCCTAGACCCTGTGGATCTATCAGGATGTGTGGAGGTTGTTCCCGATCACAAGAAATGTCCAGTCTGGTTCAGAGGAGCAGAGACACCCCCAAGATGAGTTGGAACTGAAGGCATCACTTGTCT